GGAAAGTCGACAAGCCTAATGTAAAGTGACTTACTCTATTTCAGGAGACTAAGGTCAAACTAACCAGGCTTTTTACATATTGTGCGTAGTGGGTGGATATGGTTTGCCAGAAGCATTAGCTGCCTGGTTCCGGCGCCCATTATCGCGTCCCTTTTGCGTGTACGCAAGTGCTCCCAGTTTATAAATGACTATCAAAAGCCTTATCGTTATCATGTTTGAAATTATTTTGAATTGTGTTCTAAAAGATTATCAGATGTAAACTTAGACTGAAGTGTTGCAAGACACGAGATTGGGAAGGGGCGTATCTGTTGTCAAAGTTTCTCAAAATAATACCATAACCACGGGACAGCTTTCTCCGGTCCAATTGTTTCAGTATTTAAGATGGAGACAAACTGCTCGCTCAAAGTCTTATGAAACAGGTTCATATAAGATTCATGAGGTGAAATTCCTAACCGTTTCAAGAAATCTGTTTACAAAGTAACAGCTGCATTCGGGTAAGTGAATCGGGTAACTGATTTCTTTCCACGCCGTTATGTGTTTTGAGTACTGCTTCCTGTCAGCTCAGTAAAATTGTACTGGGGTTTTGGAACTACCTCATGATGCTTTTCTTTTTATTATTCTTCATCTGCCTTCTATCCCCTAGTGGAGCATGGGCCCTCAACCAACACCAAGTCGTTCTATCCTTCACTACTGTTGGCTGCTCTCCCCACGTCCTTACCATTTTTTTAACTTCACTTCGTAGTCCCCTTCCTCGTATGTTTCTGGTGTGCCTTTATTTCTATACCCCTGTGGGTTGCAGTGCAAAGACATTCTGGTTATGCTGTTCTCATGTTTTCTTGGCGTGTGACCTATCCAACGCTAGCGTGTTTTCTTCAGCTCTTGGTCCACCGGAACTTGTTTTGTTCTCCCCCAAACATAAAGTATAATGTGTTCCCCCGGATTCTGTCTCCAAACAAAGGTGATGGCACCATCACCATCATCGTGTAGCAGGTCCTTTGCAGAACGTAGCTCTCATCACAGTCTGCCTGAAGGAAACTCGGTCTTTCGCCAGTTCTCTCGCCTCATGTACTTTTATACTCAAGTAGTCACTTATATCCTGTGCCCATCTTCGTGTCGGTCGGCCCCTGCCCCTCCTTCCGGGTACCGTGCCTTCTGCTATAATTTTTTTTCCAATCCGTCGTGGCGGATATTTCAGCTTCCGAGAAAGGATGCTGTTTATTAGCCAATCTTCCTTAGTGTTCAGATCTTTTACGATGTCAGTATTTCTCCTCTTCTTTGTCCAAGATATTCTGAGATTCTTTCTACAGCATTTAAGCTTAAAAAGCCCCTATTCTCTTTCTTAAGGACTGAGAGATAGTCCACGACTCACATCCGTAGGTAGCCACAAGGAAAATGCATGCTCTCAAAATTCTAATTTTTATCTCCTTACTCGTGCTTAACCATAGACGTATAAGGTTGTTCAATCTTTGCATTGCTATGGCCACCCTCCTTTTAATATCTGTCGAACAGTCTCCATTGCTATATATTATAGAGCCTAGATATTCAAAATTTGAGACATTTTCAATTTCTTCATCATTTATTGTTATTTTTGGGTGACAGCCAGTTTTATCTGTGGACATTATTTTCGTTTTCTTTAAAGATTCAAGAACAGATTTTGATCTTCACTGTGCTTTTGGACGGACAATATTAAATTGTCTATTCCCTTTATGCTGTTCGAAAGGAGGACTGTTTCATCTGCGTAGCGGAGATCTTGAATAGGGTTGACATCAATTTTGAGTGGATCATAACTGTCACCAGTCTGGTCATTTTAAACATTTCTCATTATATTTTCTGCGTATCTATTGAATAGGTATGGTGAGAGAATGCACCCCTGTCTCACCCCGTTTTGCAACTGGAACTAATCAGATGTTTCACCAACTGCTCTTATGGCTGCTTGTTGTTCAGAAAAAAAATATTTTCAATTAAATGCACTAAATGCGCTGGAAACCCCATACTTTTCATAATAGTCCACAGTTTGTGGTATTGGACACAATCAAATGCCTTGCTATAATTAATAAAGCAAGCATGAAGATCTAAGTTGTATTCTCTGCAAAAAAAAAAAAAAAACTATTATCAAATTAAAGATGTGATCCCTAGTTCCTCTACCCTGTCTGAAACCCGCTTGTGATGGTACCACATAATACAGTAGTGCTGAAAAACAATGACATCCATATATAGGGCCGGTACTGTTTAACATTGCACACCTTCTTATCTATCTATCCATCTATCTATCTATCTATCTATCTATCTATCTATCTATCTATCTATCTATCTATCTATCTATCTATCTATCTATCTATCTATCTATCTATCTATCTATCTATCTATCTATCTATCTATCTATCTATCTATCTATCTATCTATCTATCTATCTATCTATCTATCTATCTATCTATCTATCTATCTATCTATCTATCTATCTATCTATCTATCTATCTATCTATCTATCTATCTATCTATCTATCTATCTATCTATCTATCTATCTATCTATCTATCTATCTATCTATCTATCTATCTATCTATCTATCTATCTATCTATCTATCTATCTATCTATCTATCTATCTATCTATCTATCTATCTATCTATCTATCTATCTATCTATCTAATCTATCTATCTATCTATCTATCTATCTATCTATCTATCTATCTATCTATCTATCTATCTATCTATCTATCTATCTATCTATCTATCTATCTATCTATCTATCTATCTATCTATCTATCTATCTATCTATCTATCTATCTATCTATCTATCTATCTATCTATCTATCTATCTATCTATCTATCTATCTATCTATCTATCTATCTATCTATCTATCTATCTATCTATCTATCTATCTATCTATCTATCTGTCTATCTGTCTGTCTATCTGTCTATCTGTCTATCTATCTATCTATCTATCTATCTATCTATCTATCTATCTATCTATCTATCTATCTATCTATCTATCTATCTATCTATCTATCTATCTATCTATCTATCTATCTATCTATCTATCTATCTATCTATCTATCTATCTATCTATCTATCTATCTATCTATCTATCTATCTATCTATTTATCTATCTATCTATCTATCTATCTATCTATCTATCTATCTATCTATCTATCTATCTATCTATCTATCTATCTATCTATCTATCTATCTATCTATCTATCTATCTATCTATCTATCTATCTATCTATCTATCTGTCTGTCTGTCTGTCTGTCTGTCTGTCTGTCTGTCTGTCTGTCTGTCTGTCTGTCTGTCTGTCTGTCTGTCTGTCTGTCTGTCTGTCTGTCTGTCTGTCTGTCTGTCTGTCTGTCTGTCTGTCTGTCTGTCTGTCTGTCTGTCTGTCTGTCTGTCTGTCTGTCTGTCTGTCTGTCTGTCTGTCTGTCTGTCTGTCTGTCTGTCTGTCTGTCTGTCTGTCTGTCTGTCTGTCTGTCTATCTAATCTATCATCTGGTTGTCTATTTGTCCGTCTCTCTGTTTCTCTCACTCTCTCTCTCTCTCTCTCTCTCTCTCTCTCTCTCTCTCTCTCTCTCAGACGTAAAAATAGGGATTCCTTATTTAATTTGTACTCGATAAGTAAAATAGCTTGCCCATTTACAGTAGGCCTCGGTACATTCGTACAATGTCAACCCGCAGTTTACTGGGCGGATATCCGACCCTCTTTCCCCCCAACAGGACCTACTTAAAATTGTAGTCACATTGTACTACACGTAACTGAAAAAACGCTCCCAGTTGACCCATAAATAAGTGACATATATCAAGATTGAAGCAGAAATGAAGATAGGAGATTTAGCAAATCAAAATCAAGAGAAGATAACAGAATCTGTAAAATAAATTGAAGAACGGGTTGTCTGGTTGTGTCAGTTCACTTGCTATCGGTCAGTCAGTTCCATGTCTGTCTATCTGCAAAACGGCAGTTCTACCGATAACCACACTTTGTATGTCTGGCTACTTAACCAACCTACACGTCTTCTTCTTGTTTGTTTATCGGCTGTAAGCTCTAGCTGAAAGTCTTGGTTGTTTATCCATTTGAACTTCGTCGTTGTGCCCGGGTCCAAGTTTTGCGTGTACATCCGTTTGACTGGTTTATTTGTCTGCAGTTAATTGTTCATTGCCGTTCTGGCAAATGTACTCCGACTTCGATCTACGTTGCAAAGTGGTCAAGTCGTTGACATCGCGCTCTGAATGTCGTGGGTTCGTTTTAGGGATGCGCCGTTCATTTCACGGGTTTGCAACTTCTGCTGAGATTCATGGGGATCTTCGCCGGAGCTACGGATTTGGTGCTATTGGCAGGTTGTTAGCCGTTCTACTGAGACAGACCCATCCATATTCGATAAAACCAGGTGCAAAGAAGTCGATCCTCTCTATATACATAAAGCAGTCATTATAAGTACCAACACAAACATTCCACCAAGGGAACTGCAGGTTCATTGTCAATTAAGGCAGTAGTTACAAAAAATCTGCAGTCGCACATGCAACATCGCAGAAGGCACTCCTGGTTCTGTCCACAACACTAGCCATGTTCTGAGTTTAGTTCACAACATAAACCGCGTTGGACACCGTCGACAGGCATTCCAAACCTAGATTCTCGGCTTACAGTCAAGCCATGCGCTTAGCTCAACAGCTAGGCGACGAAACTAAATGCTTTCAATCCACATATGGAAGAAAATGCTACTAACCCTGGCTAAAAGCAAAAAACTTGCCAAAATTAGAAAGGTCGACCGGTATGTCCGTCGAATTGGACCGAAGTCTCCTACATACATACCACTCTAAATAACTACTATCTTTGTGACTAAAGTATAGATGCTTTATTCCAACGTCAGTCAGCAAAACGCTTGATGATGGTAAATGACAATCAATTTCATCAGGCAGGATTTGACTAAATCTTGTAAACTTTCCTTTCAGTAAACCTACTGCCTACTTCAACTGCTGGTCAGTGAGGATAAAACTCCGTTTGCAGACAAACATGACGCAGTTCCAGCACGGACTCTTCGGTTGCTTCGACAACATCGGTCTCTGCTTGATCACCTACATCGCCCCTTGCTACACCTTCGGTAAGAACGCAGAGGCCGTGGGCGACTCGTGTCTTATATGCGGCCTCATCTTCTTCGTCCCTTTCGCCAACTTGTTAGCACTGCTGCAGGTTCGAGGGAAGATCAGAGATTCCAGAAGCATAGACGGCAGCTGTGTTGGCGACTTGTGTGCCGTCCTCTTTTGTACCTTGTGTTCGCTTGTCCAGGAGGCTCAGGAGGTGCAATCTCCAGGAGGGCAACACATGGCCAGATGTTAACTCTGTCGACATCAAGAGGATCACCTTACACTGGCAATATTTTCACTGCATGGTCGTCTGGTAGTCTTAGTTCAGCTTAATAGCAAACGGGTCACCCCATCTTTGCTGCTCCGCTCTTGTGGCAACAAAAAAGACACAGAATGTTTATCACAGTCCCTTGTGGAAAGATTGACAGACTGCTGTCTCAGCATATCTAGCATACACACGCATTAAAACATGCGGCAGCCATCCAAAGTGCTAACACAAACAGTCCGACATTAGAAATGTTGTTCATCATTGATGATAGCAGAAGTCACCAACAGATCAGCAGTGCTTGTGTTTGCGTACGCGTGCGATCGTGTGTATGTGTGTGTGAAATAATGTATAAACAGACAATTAAAAGAGAAGAAAACATGTACTATACTTTAATGTTTTCTGTCCCAATCACTAACCACCATTTCCTGATACGGAGTGGTATGGACTTAGGTCAGTATGAATAAGAAATTAGTTGGCTTATCCGCATACTCGCAATCGCTGAGATCATTAGGATCTACCTGTGAAACAATCAAGCAGCAGCTACAGTGAAGTAAACCTACCTGAGCACTTGAACTAAGATAACATTATAGGGCCAATGGTAAATGTGTTGACAGCACGAAAACAATGCCTACTTCTATACGTGGGTGATTAGCTTCCTACATTCACACTAAAACTTGTCAGCGGGCGTGCCGACGCAAAGAAAACACTGGAGTCAACCCCAACTACTCTGCCCCTCTTCCAACTTCTACATTTTCTACTTAGAAATTGTTGTTGCTTCCAAAAATCCCCCCCCCCCCCCTTTCCAGGTAAAGAAACTTTAGGGAAAAGGGGGAGGGGGGCGGGGGGAGAGACCACACACTCGTCACTAACTTCGCAAATAATGCGCGGGAGATAAGACCTCTTCAGCCCAACCTATAAAATGAATTCTTATAGTCTTGACATTTTCGGTAAGAATGGAGCTTTATATTTAGCGTCCATCTATTCTTGGCTTAACAGCCTGAGTAAAGAAAGTAACATTTTGCAGATGTGTTTATTACATTAAACAACTGTTTGAAAGCTCTTCTTCTCAAAAAGTCGAACTGGCTTTCAAACGTACAAAAAGAAACCCTGCACTGAAAAGACTGCTTAGATCTTTAAAAATTAGTTTAATGGCAGCGAAATTAACCACACTGTAAAGTTAACGTTGACATGAGGTAAACAAGTTTCGCTTGCCAAGTGTACTCCCCTCCCTCACTGGCTTGTGAAATGTTCTTCCCTCCCACACCCTATTACCCGGGATTTGCAGTCTGGAAGATTACCACACAGTGACACAAGGATTAGAATTCAACAGAAGCCAATTCCATAAATCCTTTTCACCAAGTCTACATTGAGGAACCAGTTAGCAGCCTGCAGATCGATGTGGTTCGGTGCAATGATAAAGTGTGTTTTGTTTTATTGAATGCTTCTTTGTTTCATTGAAAGAAAAACACACACAAAAAGTTAAGCTAGTCAATCTATATTTAAAAAAAAATGCAAATGTTCGTTTGTGACTAATCGTCAGTCTCCGAAAGTTCTTCACCGATTGCTTTCAAATTGGATACAACGTTGTATTCAAATACGCGCCTGTTTTATAAGAGTGTCGCACAAAGCACGAACAACATAGCTCTAGCGACGATCACATCCGCATCTTGTTTTTGTTTTCCGACAATCCGATTTTTTTTCGTTGCTGCGTTCCCGGCGCGGGTTTTTACTTCCGCTGGTAGGCGAACTTTGACAGTTGACCTCAGAAATCTTCATGAAGCTGTATGAGATAATAAATTAGTTTGTTATGGAGACGAAAAGTGGGTAAAAGACTGTTTGGAAATGTACAGATGTGGGGAATATAAACAAGTTGGAAGTAATAGTTGTGGGGATAAAAAGAGAGTTGTTGAAAGACTTAAAGAAATGAAAAGATTTGGGAATGAAAAATTACTGATTAGTGAGGACTATCGTCACAGCATTCACAGTCTCTCTCTGCCATTTGCCAAAGTCTAACGTCTGCCCGATGAACCAACCGTTCACTTGTCACTCTGATCTTGAAGGTAGTTGGCTAATTAGCTACCGCAGCGACAAATACATAACACAAAACCTCACAATGTCTGTTACCACCATTTCGTCTCGTCCGATGTCCGATGAGCGCAGCAGGAGAGTCCGAGGCCTGGGAGTCATGACCCACCCTCTGAAACCGTCTAGGAGGATAATGGCCGAAACCCACCTTCTGTTGACCGGTAGACTCCTGCTGTGCATTCTCCCTCAGTGGAGTTCTTTTTATTGTTGTCGTGGTTGGCTGAGTGGTTACAACGTCGGGTTGTCATGAGGGAGACCCGGGTTCGACGCCCCGTAAGGTGATGGAGTATTTCTGTCAAGGGCAAAATTAAACAGTCCGTGCCGACATCACTAGGCATGCGGTCTGAAACCCCCAGGCTCCCGACCCACTGTCTTCACCGACCTAAAAAGGTGGTAAAACAGACAGTTGTGACCGTTTTTCAGTTGTTGTGGTGCTGATGGTGGTGGTGGTAGTAGTACTGGTGATGTGTTAAATATTACATTGGCCGCATTTACTTCTCATTACAATTCATTTTTTTACGCTGCTTAAAAAATACAAAAAAAAAAAAAAAAAAAAAGATAATTATAAACAAATGATCATTTTTTTTTTAGTCCTAATGATACTATTTAAGCGACATCTAATATAAAGACAATTATATGTTACGTGTTCTAGATTCAGCAAACCAGACTATCTGTATATATGCAAAGACATTGAAGGTGAAATTGACCATATTAGACACATGCGCTATTTTCTCCACCCCCCCCCCCCCCCCTATTTAGCCAGACTGAGCCACAGCAACGCATGGCCGGGTACAGCCAGTTAACTAACACATCCTTCCCTCCTCCCCCCCCCCCCCCCCCCCGAAAAAAAATGATTCACAATCACTAATGACAAAATGAATGTTGTGGTCGGGGAGCCTTCATCAGTATACACACACACACAAAACGGACTATGATACAACTACGCAAAATACTACAAATAATAACTTAATTGATATTTTTCGAAGCTCAGCTTGTCGAAATAATACAAACACTAGGAACATAAGATCCGGTGGTGTGCGGCCTCATTGGGTTACGTTTATACAATGGGCGAGATGTGACAGAGAGCCAGGGTAAGTGGGATCCAGTAAATGGAAGTCTTGTAAAATCTCATTTCAAGAAATGTGTTGCACTTTGAGGTCATGCAGGGATAGAGAACCTAAATAAAAGATAAGAAGTTTTTTAGAGACTTGCGAGCTCTTATGAATTCGACCACGTCAAAAATAAAGTATTTTTGGAAAAGTCTTCATAGATTTTGGGAGTCGCTGTGGCCCAGCGGCTAGACGTTCGCCTCGGATGGTCGTTGGTTCGCTCCCTTGCGGAGCCAGGCTTTTCTTTAAAAATGATCTAGGCTCTCAGGTCGACCCAGCCTTAAGTGGGTACCGGGTGCAGTCCCGGGAAGTAGAGGCGGCCGGCGTGATGCTGACCACATCACCCATCTTGTGCCGATTGGTCTATAACAAATATAGGTCTAGCTCTAAATGCCTTAAGGCGTAAAAAAGGGCCTTTTATTTACTTTATAGATTGTAAAGGGCACGTGAGACTTCAAAAGGGCTAAGCCTTGTTTTAGTACGTAAACATTTAACAATAATTCCCCGTGTCTGTTCTAGGGCCCTATTGTAGGGAAAACAAGAATAGATCCACTGCCTACCCAAAATCATGTCGTGACAGTCGACTAATTAGGAGCTTTCTTCGAAGTCGAAGTGCATCTGCCTGAGAGGCAAGGAACCAGCAGTCTGCATATATAAGCCAGATCTGTAAAACGGATGCACACGCAACACTCAGGTTCTGGAACAGGACTGCAGTCCAAAAGTGGATGAACAACCAGAACTTTCCGCCAGAGTTTACAGCTGGTGAACGCCAAGAAGAATTAACAATAATGTGATGAATGACAAAAATATAAGAAGAAAAAACAAAGAGCAATAAAATGAAATGCTCACATACCATTGTTGCGCACGTCAACAATTCCTTGGCAGTTGGAAATCGAAAAGTGTAGCCCAACGCCGCTGCCCGGGCAAAATTTTGAGTTAAAAATCTACCCAAAGTATTTTAGGATCCTCACCGGTGCTACGTAGTTAGTTCTTTAATAATGTCATCAATCCATGTTCTCTGAGTGCGGCCTCTTGATTGCACTTCAGATCCTTTCATGTGTAGCACCTGTGCTGGTAATTGTTCTGGTTGCATTCTTACTGAATGACCAAACCATTTGATCTCTGCTATTTCTCAATGAATTTGCTGCATGGTGTTCTTACTACAGAGCGTCTGATCAAATTATTTCTAACGATCTCACGGGTGGTTAAGTTGGCGGCTTTTCTCATTTCACTGGTGTTAACTTTACTTAACGATAGGTCAAGTAAACCACCCTTTTTCTACACCTTATGGCGTACTGGGCACACAGTACTATACCTATATTTTATAGACCAATCAGCACTCACTGGGTCATTTTAAACATCTAGCCGTCCGTCTTTACTTCCCAGGAATTTACTTGATACCCATTTAAGAGTGCGTCGACCTGAAATCCAAGGTCATTTCTAAAGTAAAACAAGTCCGGTTTCATTCGAATTTGAACCCCCAACCTTAAGATCCCCATGCGATCGCGTAGCCGCTACATCAAAGGGGCACCAGTTAACATCAAGGAAAGTAGTAAGTGACAGATATTTGTTAACATACATACTACACATCAACGAGCGGTCCAAATCTCTTCTTTGTCTTGATCGAGTTGGGAACAGGGCAGACAGCTTTTCTGTCTGTATACGGTGTTTAGTTTTTCAGACCTTAAGTTGCAGAGATAGTTCTTCGTGTTTTTTGCACCAAAATACTTTAAACTACGTTACTGAAGTCTAACCCACCCACTACTTTGTAAATTTGATGCAGTGTACCTGGTACATAGTGTGAATTGGATGCATTGTCATCTGTACTAGTATAAGTTTAATGCATTGTCCCCCTATACAGCGGCGATAAACTTATGAAGACAAATGGGCACATAAAGGGACAAGACAAATCTTTCTCGACTGACAAAAGTTTACAAGAACAACACAAACCACGGTTACCAAAATATAATGGTACTTTATTTTTAAAAAAAAACGGCCATAAAAAAAGATACAGAGCATGACTAAGGCACGAGTTTAAACGCATTCGAATGCACAGGAAAACAAAAGTCGCAGCAATTCTGCCGTTGAGTCGTGAAGTGTTAGGTATTCGTATATTCTAGGTCAAGACGTGTGGGATGGGGTGGTCAGTTCCACTCCTCATCCCATAGTCACTCTAGACAATTCTCAACATTAGTTATAAGGAAAGCCTTTTTCTGTAAACGTATCTATTAAAGATTAAAGGGTTGGAAGCTAGAGCCGTGTAGTGGCTCACTTGTCAGCAGAAAGGTCTTGGGGTCGAATCCACATCAGGAATATTTTTTTTTTCCAAAATCACATTCGCTTTCAGGTTAACTCAGTCTAAAATAGGTACCTGGTAATGTCATCGGAAGTAAAGGCAGCCGGTTTGATGCTGACTACATCACTGCTTCCCCAGCAAGCATGTTGTAGGGGGGCATGTTTTGAAGTCTGCGCGAGAGGCAAGAAACCAGACACACAAATAAACCAGATGTGTAAAATGGACGTGCACGCAACACTCACGTTCTGAAACAAGACTATGGTCCAAAGGTGAATATATACCAAGAACTTTCTGCTATAGTTTGCAGCCGGTGAATGCGAAGAAGATGAAATTACTTCTGTTTCTTTTCGGCACCTTTTAAACATGTGTTTGTATATGAAATTTGATAGAATATTACAGAATGTATTAACACTTGTATGGTTTGATATAAAGAATATTACAGATTCTACTAACACTTGTATGGTTTGATATGTATAATGTTACAGAATCTACCAGCACTGGTATATATTTGTATAAAGAATATTTCAGTATCCAGAATCAACCAGCACTAGTGTGGATTGATATATAGAATGTTACAGAATATACCAACACTGGTGTGAATTGATACATAGAATGTAACAGAATCTACCAGAACTGGTGTGGATTGATATATAGAATGTTACAGAATCTACCAGCACTGGTATATATATTTGTATGAAGAATATTTCAATATCCAGAATCTACTAGCACTGGTATGTTTTGATAAATATAATGTTACATAATCTACCAGAACCGGTAGGGTTTTGTATAAAGAATGTTACAGAATTTACCAGCACTGGTATGGTTTGATATGTAGAATATTACATAATCTACCAGCACTGGTATGTTTTGATATATAGAATGTTATAGAAACTGTTGACATTTACGTGTGGTTTTATATAGAATGTGAAATGTTACAGATTATGTCACCAATTACAGATGTTACACAGAATTAGCTGGCAAACATATGGAATGTAAAGAAAAAATATGTCACTGTTTACATGTCTGGCAGGGTGCCAAGGGCTGTTGATTATTTTAGCTAGACTGCACTTGCAAAAACATCTGGCAAGTGGTGAGAATAAAACAGAACAGGACAGAAAGTTTGGCCTCTTAGATTGCCCTCGCCCTAGAGAGAGGGGACTGTATCGAGAGATAGGCTGGCAATAGTTTCTTGGTGGTAGTACAGTTCAGTAGTAAATATGATTTTAGATATAAATTTATATCATAGTCAGATCCGAATTTTCTCCAATAGTTAAAACTGTATAGAGCTAGATATCAGTGTGTATCATCGCTTGGAGATGTTTAGATTTTATGTAGCTAGAAGCAAATTTTCACCTTTGTTAGATGAAGTGCTTAGCACATGAGTGAATGGACACGATGCTGTTGTTATTTGTGGACCATGTGAGTTTTGTGTAAATAAAAATTTAAAACAAAGCACAGATGTTGAATGTTATGATTATAGTTCCAGTTGTTTTGATTTGGATTAGGACCTGTAGTTAGTGTGCCTAGTTTTACTGTTATGGTTTATTAGGCTTCATATAGAACATATCCTGTCAGAGTTGAGATACTATTGGTCTTAGCCCCTGCCTAACCAACTTTTTGTTCTTGTTTTCTTGTTACTGAGGCAGATTGAGTGTGGGTTGGCTCACTCACCAAGACAACCCCTTAGGCTTTGCTTCTAGTTTACATGTGTTGACATACAGATTGTTACAGAACCTGTTGACATTTACACATATTGGTTTTTAGACTCCTCAAATAAAGAGAGAATATTGAAATGACAAAATATGCCAAAATGTTGACATACAGGATTGTTACATGAAGAGAAAACACTATTTGGTGCTACATATATACATTACTTGTGCAGTTCATAACTGATTGAGACAAGAACAATATTCATCAATGAGAACCAGCAATGGCAAAAGATGTGAGAATTTATCAAAGCTTCATCTAGAAATAATGTCAACATTTATATAGGGAGATCAAATGAGCAATTATTTGCCAGGTTCTTTGCTGAATATTTCTTCCATGAAATCAATAACTTTGTATCCATACATTCCAAATTTTATTCTATACATTTCAGGGCACATATATAAGCAGTACTTGTTTTCCTTAAATAAAAAAAAAAAGTGGTTTCATTCACATCATTTCTATTTAATAATCTCACCGAAGCAGAAGCTAATTAAAGAAAGGTTTCAAATATGTTCCCAAGATGATGACATGTTCAAGTTTCTGTTGTGCTGTAACCCTTTGTTTAACTTCTAGCCATGTGCTGCATCCCTGGAGACTGCACCTCCTGGGCTTCCTGAACCAAAGCACACAGATGGCAGCAGATAACAGTAAAAAAGTCTCCAATGCAGCTTCCTTCAATGTTGCGAGAAGCTCTAATCTTCCCTCTCACCTGAACCAGAGCCACTATGTCCAGTATGGGTACAAAGTATGCTAGGGCACATAGAATACACGAGTCTCCTACTGCTTCAGCATTTTTCCCAAAGGTATAGCAGGGTACAAAGTAGGTGATCAAGCAGAGGCCGATGTTGTCAAAGCAACCAAAGAGACCATGCTGAAACTCGGGCATGATGCAAGGTGTTCTAATTCGTCACTCTGTGAATGGTGGGGAATAAATGTTTGGGCAGCTGTGGCTTCTCTGGCAACCTCTGTGTGTTTGCAGAATCTGAAATGAACAAATACAATATGAATAAATAAACAGAAAAGACAGGTACGGCGGCGACAGAGAGAAAAAAACTAGGTGTGGGGGCAGGGGGAGGGGTTGGGTGGTGCAGAGCTCAGTTAGCCCCATTCCCTCAGTGCAAAAAGGCTTGAGAGGCATATAAATAATGATGATGATAACAATAATATTAATAACAATGTGATGAATCGCAAATAAATATATCTGATGTAATATGAAATGTCAAAGACAACCAGTGGTTCTTTTATTTCACCCCATCTCTGGGAACTCTAAGATTGTGTGGGGAATTCAGGAGGATGTATAGGTGGTGCTAGGGTGTGAAATGAATACTTAAAGGTTCATATTGGATGGCTGAGGCAGAAAATCTAATCCAGCTAGTATGTGACCTAGACGAGATCAGTCACAGAAAAAAATAGACGGATACACCAGCAGACTTACATGGCTTGTATAAGGTTGTCATAACACTGTGGAGGTATTTCATAAATCAGAAAGCTGCCACTGTAGTTGATGAGATTGGGGCGCTGATTAATCAGCATTCATGCCCAGAAGACATCATCGTTTACACAGATGGGTCCGTGAAGCGTGGGTCAAGATCAGCATGAGCAGGTCAGCATAAAAGATGAGAAAAGCAATAAAAGAGGATAGTGGCGCTTACCAGACGACTACGTCAAACATGAACATGGAGATAATTGCTGCTTCCAGAGCCCTTGCATGGGAAGCTGAACAAACGGCCACACATGAGGTAATCGTTTCACACCCTAGGATCATGCCTCAGTATATCGCTACAGGAAGTCTTCACTCCGAATGGATAGAAAACATAGGCAAGTCGCAGTTAACCTCTATCATCTGGATCTACACACCTGGGTACGCAGGAGTAAATAGTAATGAAAGAGCTGACCAGCTGGCAAGTAACAAAAAGAAGGATGGAAAGAGCTGATATCATCAACGATGTACAGACTAGGTTGGGGAATAATGGCGAATCTCTGACGCTAACACAACTGCGTGACTGAGGAGTTAAGCTAAGTGAAGCACGACTACGCCGTCTTCGATGTAAAGACATGATCTATAACCAACTCAATATGGGAACAATCAGTAGAGGTACCTTGGAGTAGTTGCTGCATCAGAAGACTGAGCATGCATGGGAATATCCAATGTGCAAAGACTACAATTGCAATAACATAACATTAGCTTTCCCAGGAACTTCCTACAAAACCTCCAGTCCCTGAGATGGGTTTTAAAAAAAAGAAAGAACCCAACTTATCACAAACATCAGAGACAGTCATCATTTTTAGGTCATGTTATGAGACGAAGGAAACTGGAACATGATGTGGTTACTGGAAATATCTGTAGGGGAAAAAAGGGAGACAGTGGAAGAAAGCATGAGACTATTAAAGAGATAATTTTGTCATGGCAAAGCATGATCATCGATGCCAGTCGGTAAGGCACTGACGATGATACACAAATTGTTTTAAAAAGATAACTTCTAAACATGGTGAGTGGGGCGGCTACGTTTACTAGAATGTGGTTAGTTTGACGTTAGTCCCTCCAGACACCGCCCATATACACACAAGCTCACTAATGATTCCTAGTTCCGGGACCCCGTGACCTTCGCACACGGTTACGGGAGTATTCCGCAATGCCGTTGATCACGTCAGCGCTTTTAACACTCCAAAAACATGCAGAAACTGGGTTTAACACAACACCCTTAGAGAGTGCTGCAACCTATGTCACAGGCATTCTCTTTCTCTCAATGAAAACGTAAATGCAAGAAATTGCAGAAACCAAACAAGAGAGCTGGACACACCTGTAACCTTAAGGAAAGTCGACCAGTCCAACAAACTTGTGAATGAAAAGTGACCTACTCTATTTGAGGAGACTAACGTTGAACTAACCTAAAGGTTAGTTGCATATCCTTTACAGGACGTTGCAGAACCAACCCCAACAGCCCCTGGCTGTCTTGTGGTTTTTCCAACGCTGTCTCTAATAAATAGAGAAGGCCGTGGGGTTTTCTAGGCAAATTTACGTCCAGTAGTTACTAACCTGTCGGCTTTGTGGCTAAGTCGATGCGAACGCTTCATAATGCCGAGATGCCGGGTTCGATCTCAGCTGAGGGCCATCGCTTTGCGTTTCGACAGTGGTATCAAGAAAGCCGACCGTCCAGGAGCAATGGTAAACTACTGGACGTAAATTTGCCTAGAAAACCCACACAACAGCCAGGGGCTGTTGGGGTTGGTTCTGCAACGTTCTGTAAAGGATACGCAACTAACCTTAGTTACTAACCTAAAATGTTTATGAAAAAAAAGGGGCGGGGTGGAGGGGGGGGGGTTTTACGGCATCCTGGGACAGTCAATGTTACTCTCCCTGTCCCGTGACTAGTGATTAGAAAGGATTATCATCACAGCATTCCGGGCAGATCCATAGGTGCTCCGATCTCCTCCTAAAAAGCTCCACAAGTGTAAAACGACTGATGACGCTTGTTCTATGTTGGTTAATGAAACGTCTTGTCCCTTTAGTGAAATGTTCATTTCTTGCAGCTCCAGGCTGCACCCACATGTCCATCAGTCTTGACAGGGATATGGAGTCATGCCCTTTGGCGTGCTCCTCAGTGCGGTAAGTGCAGCGCATGGCATTGATAACATCACTTCTGTCCAATACTGGGCCAGCTATATCAACTGCAGTGTCAGCAAGATAGTCTGCACGCTCGTTTCCTTGAACACCCGCATGACCTGGCACAAAGATGAAGGTTAGGGCAGATATTCGTTAAGTGCTTAGTGTTTCAATCCATTTTTGTCTGATAAATCCAGCTTGTATTTTTTTAAGCATATTCATCGAGTCACTAAGAAAGCATATGTGTGTGAACTTTTGAGTACTAAGCCATGCTAAAGCCTTTGTTACAGCCATTGTTTCCATTGTAAGGCGACTAGTTGTAACAGCAAAGGCGCCATTCATCTCCTTGATGGTTTTCCTTTGAGCTTACAGTGAAGGCCCATGCTCTTCGCTTGCCCCTAATGACTGACCCATCTCTGTTATCTATATCGTCACCTTTATCTGTGTTTTCGTCAATCAGTGTTCTGACTACAGTGTCAACAATGCCAGGAATTTGCTCTCTACAGCTTCCCACAAGTGTGATATAAAATATGTAATAATAATGTTTGAAGAGGGAGGTATAATTATCCATTCCTTTCCAAAATTAATGTCAGTGAGGTGGCAAACATGTTCCATGGCATCCTCCGCGCTACCCATCCAGGATTTGCCTCGTTTTAGTCTACTCTTTTTTTGCTTGAATAATTCCTCATAAAGTGGGTGTCGATGGTCTGATTTCACTTTGAGAAAAGCAACAGCCCTGGATAGCTTGATTCTGTTTTCCATTGAGGGGAAATCCGAGAGGTATCGCATGGATATACAGGAGGTGTCTCTAGTGCATCCAAGAATAATGCGCATTGCCTCGTTTTCAATTTTTTCCAGTCTTCTCATCTGTGTGGTGCTGATTGTCATGATGGCCAATGCATATTCAAAAAAACTAATACATTACAAGAAGCCGTTGCTCAAAGTTTGCAGCTCCCATAACTTTTATTGCAGTGACCTCCCGAGTCAAAGCAGAGCCTTGGCTAAGCCAACTGCCAATCACCCACCTGCCAGCAGTAAACCCACGCTGGCGGTTCAGTTTCAGTCGAGTCTGCCTTTTAGAATTGCTGACCTACTTAAGCATCCAGTGAAGCAAGAATGCCTGCCCGTGTAAGTAAACTTTCCACCGATGCGGTCTCAGCTGTAGTGTTGTTCGGGGATGGGAGGTACGTGTAGTTGAAGGTGAATTGAAAACGCTAAGTCAATAAAACTTGTAGGAGATGTAACCGTGTATAAAGTTTATGCATTAGAAGAAATCAGAAGACAGGGGGCTGTCCGCGTGTTTCTAGCAAGGATAAGACCTTACACAAGTGAAGCGACGCCGACACCACAAACAACCTTTGAAGCGCAGGTCCTATTCACGTTCCTCGGCCCATCCATACTTTCTCAGTCTGGTCTAGGTCAGAGGGGTGTCCCGTTGTACAGTCTCTCATGAAACGTAGGATCAGACTGTTGGTTAGGGCCAGTTCTGGGGTCGTTTAAAGCTGTATCGTCGTGTAGTATAGAACGCGCGACATCGGCGCCGATGTAATTGGAGGCAAGACACCGTGAAACCGCTCTGACGTAGAACAGTCTGAGAAAGAATAAATTAAAAAGTCAGGCAGTGTGTACATGGGCCAGGAAACGTGAATTGGACCGAAGGGGATTAGGAAAATGTATTGATCGTCAAATTTGACCCCCCCCCCCCCTTTTTCCTGAAAGGTTTTCATACTATCCGACATTGAAAACAAAATCTTAGTCTGGATGGTAGACCAACAAGGCAGATCGCAGAACTCCGTTTAACACCCGGAGATGTCATAACTAGGGTACATGTAACGGTTAGGACAGACAGGTGGCAGCCATAGTCTTATGCGGATAGGGACGCTGATTAGAAACAGCACTCTAGCAATCTTTAAAAAATCCCCCCTCCCCCCCCCCCCCCCACTTTAAAAAAAAATCTTCGCTTCCCCATCACACATTCTCTAAAGTAACTTGCGGTGGCGGAGAAAGGAAGATGAGGACAAGAGAAAGAAAAAAAAATCTTCTTCTTCATGTTCACCAGCTGTAAACTCTAGCGAAAAGTTCTGGCTGTTCATCCACTTTTGAACTTCAGTTCGGTTTCAGAACCCGAGTGTTGCGTGTGCATCCGTTTCACAGATCTGACTCATTTGTATGCTTCAACAATAAGACCCGGACAAATGTCGGTATTTGTCACCTTTCTGGTCCAGTTTCTGTAACAATATTACAACATCAGCGGGCACACATTACAACATCAGCGGGCACAC